GACACATCATTTCACAGCCCTACATGGAAATCCAAGACCAAGGAACTATTTTTAGTGCACAAAATGTCTCCCCTAAATGTATTAACTTTGGAAGAGTAAATATTAAATATGGTCTCATCACATTAGAGGCATTTATGCAGAAGTACAGCACCAGCGGTTTTAATGGTTAGGGGAAATTATGTTATACCACCAGCATTTAATCAAACACAATAAAACAAGGTCTTGCTGCAATTCTTTCAGGATAAGCTGAAGGAAAATTAATTCCTTTCCACATCCGTTGCTGATGATTTACTGACACTGGGGGGTATTTGACCCATTAGTATTTATGATGGCACTTGCAATCTGTATGCAAAACATATAAGGACTAGCCTAACATTTATTTTGCAATTAAATTGAAATGATTCTTTGGCTACTTGCTCCAAACCAAGGCATTCAGCACCATCTGTGATGAGGATACTATAGGCAAGCCCTGAGTGAGTACCATAGCCCTGTGACAGAGCCCTATGTGCTCTAACTGCCTACAAATACATGTTTAATAGTGGCTTTTGGTAACTTTACTGAGGAATCACTTCTCAGGCTGGGCTGTAGGACAGTGTGGTGCTGCTGGTGGAGCCCCAGTGCCCCAGGTCTGCCTGTCCCTGCTCTGTCAGCAGTGCCCTTCGTGGCTGGTGGCTCTCCTCTGGTGATGGTGAGGGGCAGTGGGGTTGCTGCCTGGGTTTGGTACTCAGGGCTGGGGTCCTGAGGTGCCTCCTGCACCTCACCCCTTCAAAAGGCAGCTTGGGGTTTAGATGGTGTCTGTCTAAACAGAAAGGTATCAGATAGGAGCTGCTGGGCTGTTCTTGGTGAGTTGTTTTTGTTGTCAGCTTGGTTGTTTTATCTCCTGTGAAAGGGAGTCTCTGGGAGAGGAGGTGACATACAGAGGTGATGTAGTCTTTTCAGCAGCCCAAAATTCTCTTCCTTTGCTTGCAGGCACTTCTGTTCCATGAACTTCTGTTCCCCATGCCCATTTCCACGATACATCCAGCTAGACCATCCCATCTCTGGTCTAATGCAGGTGCCAGCAGGCTGGGATGCATCTTCCCAGGAATTTGGCCAGCTCTCTCTTCCATGAGCCTTAAATATTTTGGAGACAAAATCCTTGCCAGTTTGTAAAGATGATGCCTCATGTTCCCCAGCATCAGATCTCTGAGATCCATCTGGGCTTGGCATCATCCCCTTGGACATTCTGGGGCTGGGAAAGGGATTGCTGTTTCAAGTTAAACAATAACAGTCAGGCTGGCCTTGCTCCCTGCTTTGTGGAACTGAACTCTTGAATGCCTCCCTGCCTTGAACAGGTGAAAGACTTGCTACAGGAGGCAGCTCTTGAACTGGCTTTCTGACAGGTTCATGCACATTGCTGTGGGCATCACACCTGCACTGAGGGGCTCTGGGGACTAGACTGGAGTTTGAGTTCATCACTGGGCGCCTGGAGAGCTGTGAGCAAGAACACAGCCCAGTAACAAAGTCTTTAGTTTTTAGCAATAAACCAATCCTTTCCTTTTTCATTGAAGAGCTAAATGTGAGGCCATGGTAGTTGCTCCACCCTCCAGAACACCCATCTCAGATGAATGGTTTTGCTCTGTCTTCACTGTGCACCATGACCTACCCAATTAATCAATTAACCAATAAATGGAACAAAGTATGTCTACTAAATAGCTCATTTTCCTTCAGCAGCCTAGGCACTTGGGTGATTTTACAGAAGAAAAATGTGCCAGTAAAGGCCAGAAAAGGTGGAAGAGCCATTCCTTAATGACTTGAATATTTGCTGAAGCGAGGCAGCACCCTTGCCTGTGGCCTCCAAAGCAGCCAAGCCTGCACAAGATGTGGATGCCATTCAAGTTTATAAAGCTGAGTGATGAGCGCTGTGCTCCCACCACACTGCACAGGTGAAGAGTCAGGCTGCCAACCACAGCCCATATCAGCAGTCACAGAATGGTGTGGGCTGGAAGGGACCTTAGAGACCATTTAGTTCCCATCTCCTTCCATGGGCAGGGATGCCACTCACTGGACAGGCTGCTGGTTGGGGTCAGCAGGATACAGGAGTGTCTTACAAACAGGAACACATCACTGGAGTACTTTGGATTTCACAGCTTGCTTTTGCTCCCATGAATGGCAGATCTAGCAGTGTGTTTCCCTGCCTGTTAAACCAGCTCCTGGTGCAAGAAGCTGTTCCTCTGAGCATCCTGTCTCACAGCAGGACTTCCTCTGTGGGCTTTGCTCCAAGTCTGCAAAACAAGAATAAATTTCCACCAGAAAGGGGGCTACCTTGAATTACAGGAACTTTCAGGCATGGGGAACTTTGTGAACATCCTCTTGCTTGGGCTTGCCCTTCCAGCTGTTAGAAACGTCTCCAGCTGTGCTTCTCAAGAGCTGGCTAAGATTTGGCAATGGAAATGCAATGGAAGTTCAAAAATGTGCTACTCACAGGCAGAGTGGCTGCATCAGCAGGGCTGGACCAGCCCTGCATCCCCACAGAGCTGCATCCCTGGGATGAGCTTGCTCTGTGTGACCATGCTCACCACACCAACACGAGGTACACAGAAAACACTGCTTTATTGACTGCATTAGCCAACACATTGAGGAATGCAAAGGGGTTTCTTTTCATAAGCAATGGGCCATGGTCCCAATGTGTATTAAAGCATACACTGTATCTAAACAGGATGAAAATAATGGCAGACAGAACTATTCCAAGGCAACACAAATAGCATGCATAATACAGTCTCACACAGAACGAGTTTGATAACATTATATTGCTTTAAGGATTAACTAACATGGAAAATGTACAAAAAGGAGAAATAGGTTTTTGCATTAATGAAAAATACATTTTTTCTCTACAAAGGAATTTCTAATACAAGAAAATAAATATTGCAACATAAGCCAAAAATAATTTAAAATTGCTCTTTTCAATATATTTTCAATATTTCTCTTTTGTATTAACAAATGGCACATCACGTTCTTTGAAACAAAGAAAACAGAAGGGTTTCTCCTCCTGCGACATTCATATCGTTTCCTGTAACTGATGTGAAGTGGGTTGTTTTGAATGTGGAATGGTGCAAACTGCAGGGGATTTCCTTAAAGAACAACCAAACCTCATGCCCTGCCCTGTAGCAGCATCTTCCTGCAGCCTGCACCCATCCTGGCTCCATTCTGCATCCAACCTTGGGGCGAGCTCCATGGGACAGCAGGCATCCTAACCCCATAAAACAGGTGCAAGTGGAAAAAAAATAGAAGAAAAAAGAAAAAAAATCAAAAGATGGGTGTGGGGAAAATGGGAGTGTCGAATGGGAGCTGTCCTGGGGAAACTCCCTCAGCCATCAGGGTTGGGGCTGCTGAGGGGCTGTGCTCCATCAGGGAATGATGCTTTCTGCATCCTCATCTCAACAGCGGCTGCTTCTCCAAGGAAACAGGTGCTCTTACAGTGCAAATGTCAATTCCTGCAGTTTATACATCTTAAAAGATAACATTTCTGTACTAAAATAAACCTTTTTCTTTCTTCTCTTTCTATTCATTTCAAAATACATTTACATTAACATCAAAAATATTTTCCTTGTGCATTTTCTCTCCAGAACACCAGACTCCCCTGCTCCCAGGACACTCCAGGCAGGGGATGCTCTGGGGTGGCTGCAGCCATCCTGCCACGGTCCAGCCCTTGCTCAGCCCCAAAGCTCACCAGAGCCCTTTTCCTCCTCTCTATTCCTGCCATCCCATTCTTCTCCCTGCACCCCACCAGCTTGCTTAGCTTTTCCCCCCTCTCCTGATGGCAAAACATGATGCCTGATGTTTTGGGAGTGTTTCAAACTGTGCTATTGCCCAATGTTGGAGGTGCCAGGTTGGTTGTTCTTTAAAGTTTCCCCATTTTTGCTTTCCTGTACTGAGAAGACAAGTAGTGCAGAAGCTGATGAATGGAACTGTGTACAGTGAAATTTGTGGATTGCTTTTTTTTAACCATAATTGAGTGAAGCACACGGAAGCAAGATTCATTAAAAGGCAGCATATTGATTATTGTTATGACTCGTATACTAGGATACTGGAGCTAAAGCTAGCAAGCCTGATAAGATAAACTAAGTCCTATTTACTGTATTTAACATTATCTGAACATACTGAGCCTTAATTAATGAGCAGATTTTCATTTCCAACCTCAATGGATTATGTTAATTTATAACAAAGGTAATTCCTGTTTTGTTGGTATTTTGCTGTTTTTTTGTTTTCTTTTTGTGTTTTTTCCCACTAATAACTTGCGTCACATTTTTCCCATGTGAGGAAGATTCCTTCCCAGGCACGGTCAGTCTCAGCCAGGTGAGTGTTGGGCTTAGGCAGGGCTGGGCATCCCACCCGCAGCCCCCACCGCTCGCCGTGTCTGGGATCAGCTGGGCTGTCATCGCTGATCTGTGCTGCAATTTTATCAATAATAAGGACTTTGGAAGGCTGATAAAGATGATGATCTACTCTAAAACATCAATCGAAATAGTCTCAGAGTTTCAAAAAGAAAGCTCACAGTGAAATGAGCAAAAAGCATCGGAAACCAAAATGGCAGGATGCGGTCTCGGAGCAGCAGCATCCCTCGGAGCAAGCTTGGAACCTAACGCCGCAGCAGTGTGGTATGAGTGTGTCTTTAGTCCTTGGTTGCTAAATAACTTCCAATTTTTTTTCATAATGACAAGTTTCCGGTTTCTGGCTGTGCTGCTTGACTGTCAAAATATTTCTTTGGCATCCACAAAATTCTTTGACTGATTGGTTTGACAATTGCAAGGTTTTTTTGTTTAGTGATGGGTTTAACCGGTTGCAGAAGTGTCCCAGGTTTGGGTTGGTTTTGTTTTTTTTTTTTTAGTTTTTTTAACCATTTTTTTATTTTTAAAAAAAAAAAAAAAAAGTTTCAGGGAATTCCTTTTTTTTTTTTTTTTTAGTTTTTTTAAAACATTTTTTTATTTTTAAAAAACAACAACAACAAAAGTTTCAGTGAATTCCTTTTTTTTTTTTTTGTTCCCTGAGCTCACACTGGGGTCACTCCAATAAAACACGTAGCATGACTTAACTGTGACCTTTGAAGCCAAAACCGAAGTAATGGTGCAATTAAGTGCAAACATGGAAATTCGCCTGACTTATAGGTAACATGGGCTTTTAAACAACATTTAAGGCTTATTGGGGACATTTTATGCATTAAATTATTGTAATATTTATAATGTCAGCTTCTGTGAATCACCCCTCCACAACGAGTCAACAGCTTGTAACCAGGATTTAAGGTAAAAAAAACAAACCAAAACAAAACAAAGGATGGAGAGGAATAAATTCACCATTTCCATTGTAGCATTTAGAAAGAAAACATAATGGTGGTGGCAAGGGTTGCCATTTCCCCTCAGTGACGGCACATTTGGCCTTGGGGCCATGGTTTTGGTTTAAGGGGGATTTCAGATGTGCTGCCCTGGCATGGTGGGACCACAGCAGCATTGGAAGGAAGCAACCCTGACTCCCCATGGTGGTTTTAAAGGATGCTTTCCTCCTCCATCCTGCCCCACATTTCCATTTTCCACTTGCTGATCCAGTCACCTGAGTAAATCACTTCAGTGTTTCTAAGAACCTCACTGGGGGCATGGATGGGGAGGACTTTTGCATCCTGGCCCCTGGACGGATCCCAACTAGATGGAAAGGTGAGGGGAAAAATAATGATCAAGAGGTTTTTTTCCCTAAAAATAGAAATGTAACATTGCTCTCTTCCACCCCAAGCGTTTTCCTCCAACAAGCTTTTTGTGCTTTAGTCATTATTTATTTTAGAATCGCTTATTTCGCTTCCTTCTCTCCGCACACACAGGTGGGAATTTCCCCTCCCACAGCTGGCCACTGCCGGACCCTCTCCTCGCTCCCTGCTCTGAGGGCAACCGTCCCAGGCAGAAATCTGCCCCTCATTAAATAATGCCCATTAATTGAACTGTCATCCCTGCAGAAAGCACGGGTACCGGCACCCTCCACCCTCTCAGCACGCTCGCCATCGGTCCTGGCGGGTGCCGGCTCACGTTCCCAGGAAGTGGGGTCTGGCAGGGAGCCGGGGAGGGACCACTGCTGTCACAGTCGTCGATGTCGGTGAAGCTGAAGCTGTATCTCAGGCGTATCGAGAAGGGAAAGACAACAGTGCCGAATTTCCAACTATATACACACATTAAAAACCCCCCTCGCCGTGACACCAGGCAGAAATTGGACATGGCAGTTGGAACTGGGTTGAGGCCTCCTCGAGCCGGCGCGGTCGGAGCAGTTAGGACGCCAGGATGCTCATCCTGACGATGTCCTCGCCGGCCGCGTCCAGCTGGCCCCGCTGCGCCCGGCCGCCGCGGGACTCCCCGTCCGAGTCGCTCATCTCGGCGTCGGAGAAGTATCCGTCCGTGTCGGCGTCGAAGCGACGCAAGGGAGCTCCGCCAGCGCCCTCGGCCTTGGGGGGCTGCGCCCGCCGCGCCCCCCGGCTCTCCTTTGGTAATTTGAACCGCACGATGGTTTTGGGGCTACCTATGGAGTCAGGCACTTTGGCCGCGGGGCTGGGCTCCGTCTGAGCGCAGCGCGGCGTCTCCTCCTCCTCCTCCTCCTGGCTGACGCAGCCCCGTGTCCCAGCAGGGGGATGAGGCTCGCTGGCTTTCTGGAGAGAGCCCTTCCTGGCCACCCTTTTGGCCTCGCCCGTCCCTCTGCGGTCGGTGGGAAGCTTTGCTGCCCCTTTTTCCGACTTGCTCGGCCTGGAATCCAGAGCGAAGGGCTTGGCGGGATCATCCGACAAGTTGCTGGCATTGTTAGTCCAGGGCTCGGAGCCCTCCGGGTGGCCCCCACCCACTGCAGAGGGGCTGCTCCTCGGCAGCTTTTTCTTAGTGTTCGTTCTCGTTCTGCTTTTCACTTTCTTTGTGGTCTCGCTCTGCCTGAATGGGGACCTGAGGGAATGGTCCATCATGAAGCTCAGCAAGGTCTCCTCATCCTGGAGGAGCTCCTCGGAGAGGCCAGGGGTGCTGGCCTCGTGGTGGGCGTTGTTGAGTGACCACTCGCTCATCGCCATGTTCTCCGCGGTGATCTGCACTGACTGTGCCAACCAGCTGTTGAAGAAAGTCCCATCGATGGGGAAGGAGGTTGACAAGCCTGGGAAAAACAAGAGTGGAAGAGTGCCTCAGAAGCCAGGAACAGGAACAGCCGTGTTGCCCGCTATCACCATCACCCACTCCACCAAAACTCCCTGGCACTGGAGAAACACTCAGAAGATCCACCATAATGCACCACACCGGACACGGAGCAGGGCCTACCCCAGCACTGGCGATGAACTTGGGGTTCACTGGGGTCACAGCACAACAACCCAAGCACTCCCTCACGTCCAACCCTCCACAAACCTCCCTGAATCCAAACCAAGCATCTTCCTTCAGTGAAGATGACAAGGAATGAGACACCCCAGCACAGGTGGAAACATTCTCATGCAAAACTGGAAGCCAAACAATTCAAGTGTAAGTTAAAAAATATGGTGACAGAGCAGGACTTGTGCCCAGATGGGGATGACAGGTTCCCCAGGAAGCAGCTACTGCAAGGCCACCCTCAGAGCTAATCAGCCAGCATGGTGATGGCACCACTGCTACATCTGCAGCTCTGAGAACATCTCAGAAGGCATGGAAACTGAAGAAGAGGAGCAGAGATGAAGGCTGGAATGGAAAAAGCTGAAAAACTTCCTGATAATGATCATTGAGAGCAAGAGTGAGCACTGTGGGCTGGGCTAATTGGGTCCAATTAGCAATGGGAAGGTGCACACCTACACAGGCACAGGCAGTTTTAATCTCTGAAACAGAAACCCACGGGTTCAACATTTGAGTTGGTTTTATGGATGAAGGAAAAATGAGATTTAATTCTGGATTTCAGGAAGAGCTTTCCTTTGAAACAGTCTAGCAACAGAGAGGGAAGAGCAGTGGCTCAGGCAGGGTGACTCATGCCCAGTGTTTGCTGGTAGCAATGTTGGCCTCACATCACCCCCACCTGTGACCAGCAACACAGGCTGTGACCCTGCACCTCCTGCAACTCACCAGAGCCTTTTTGGAGAAGACAGCACCCCACCCTGAGCAGGGAAGGTGAAACAGGAGAAAGGGTGAACTTTGGCCATTGTGTGGTACCCAAACACCAAAAAACCCAAGTTCTGTGGGCAAGGGCACTGCCCAGCTCACCTTCCCCAGCCCTGCTCTGATGACAGCAGCCCCAAGGGATGCTTCAAACCCTTCACAAAATGCAGGAGGTAACAAGACCTTGGTGAGGCTTTGGGTCAGGTTGCCTGGTTTCCCAAGCCCATAGCCATGCATTTTCCTCTGAGATTCTCCAGCCTCCACTGTTTGCTGGAATTTGCCCCAGCAAATCCAAAACTTCTTTAGCCAAGACAGAATGAGTGCCATTTCCAAAAAGCCCCATTTCCAAAGGTCCAACAGCTCTGAGATGACCAGAAAGCAGCATAGGTGAGCAATGTGCAAAGCAGAGCAAGGCAGGGTGGTCCAGACCACCAGGCCTCCCACAGAAATGCTCTGTACCCCCTGGAGGGTTTTACAGCATCTCCAGACTGCCTGAGAGCCTCAAAGGACCAGTGCTCCCCTGTGCCCTGGCAGCTAGGCACACGTGAACTCACCACCTCCTGCCTCTGCTGGGGGAGGTGGCAGCACCTGAGGAAGTCAAGCAACAATTCCATGCAAAAACCTTGTCAAGGACCTTGTCCAAAACAACCTTTTTGTTCTGTTTCTTTTTCAGCCCTGTCTGCTGCTGTAGGTGATGGGGTGCTGGAGGTGGTTGAAGCATCTGTAGGGCCAGGCTCCTCACCCCCTGAGCAAATTCAAGAGATGGATGCACTCTGTGCCTGACTCCTGGATGTTCCTGCACCTCTGGCACAACCAGCATGGCCATATATGCCATGGATGGTACATGAAACCTCACAGCACCACTGCACAGCACAGAAAGCACAGGGGAGCAGCCCTGCCACGGGGTGGGTAAGTCTGATTTTATCACCTGAAAGTGAAATCCCGCTCCAGCAGCACATCACAGGTTTTGTAACACATTCTCCCAATCCTGGAGCTACAGGGGGGAATTTTAAATCCCCTGCCCTGCAGTGAGCATGTTTCTGAGCCAATCTCTCCAGCAGGACCTGGATAATTCAGGCTGATTCCCAGAAAGGAGAGATGGAAAGTGTAACTCCATCGTGTTACGTGCAGGAGGGATGATGGGCTGGGACTCCTAACCCTGCTCCCCAAACAGGGAGCCGCCAGCATCGCGGGTCAGCTCTGCGCCATAAAATCAGACTTACCCAGTTGTCCCAAAACAGTTTCGTTGACCGATTTCCTTTTCTCTGTCTTCTCAGGACTACTTTTTCTACCATCTCTTCCTTTCCTTCTTGGGTCACTTTTCTTACCCTTTGTCTTCTTCCCAGTTTGTTCTGGCATTTTTTAGAAAGAAAGGAAAACGCCGTGTGAGACGAGGCATCAGGGATGCTGCGGTGAGCGAGTTCCCCTGGGGCACACCCTGCAGTGCAGACCTGGAGCACACCTGCAAACAGCTCCAAGCCAAAGGGGGAACAAGGGCCATTCCCTGGGCAGCTGTAAGCTAAGGTTTCTACATGTCAAGAAAATCTTAATCCTGTAGGTTATAAAAAAAGGAGATTTTAGCCTTGGAGAGGAGTGGCCACAGGAGCAGCCCCACTGAAGGCAGGTGACTTTCTGGAGACTCTACAGCCACAGACCTGGACCAGGACTTTGGGGTGAGGACCCACTAGGGAGTAACCCCAAACCCTGTTCACACACCTTGCAGGAGCCATGGTGACCTACAAACCAGGTGCTGTGTCACCCATCTCCAACAAGAGCACCTCCAGAAGGGATTCAGCTGCACAGCCACACTGACAGAGCAAAGGTACCAGCAGTTTTAAAGCCAACCTTGATTTGACCCTTTGACAAAACTGTGCAGGAGTGAAAAAAACCCCAAAGTGATACAGGTACACAAAGGATATAGGAAGGATGACGAGGACTGCCTATGAAAATGTAGGAATCTAAAGGTAGGGAGCTATACAGACATACAGCTAAAAATTAGCATTTCCTAAATGGCTTTGAACTTCTACTGGATTTATTCCACTTGGGTAAACAGGACAAATACCCTATAAAAGTACAACTTGTATTGCCAAGTAAAATACTTGCAGCAGTTTTTACTTACTCTGCTAGGCCATTCTCCCCCAGAAGTCTGTGCTAAAACTTCTGTTAATTTTCAGAGAGGGAAGGATATTGCCCTTAAACCAAAATGTGGGTGGCTTAAGGAAATGGAGGCAAGACAGGCAGTTTTTCAGAGTCTGGCCCATAGGCTAAACAATGATCTTAAGGAAGAAATCAGTTTATTGTTTCAGCCAGCAGCAAATCCTCTGCAGAGAGGCCATGGGGTGGATGGGTCAGAGGGAATAACCTCAGGAGCAGTGGAAATGTACTGGGTGAGCAGGGGAGGGAATTTGCATTGCACCTGCCTGAGTCTGAATTCACAGAGGATTTACAGCCCTGGAGTTGCTAGCCAGGAACCCCTCCTGACCAAAGGACTTACAGAAAGAAAGAAATGCAAAAGCAAATTTGGTATTTGCTACGTTCCTGCCAAGTAATGGGAGGAAGGCAGACACATTTTTCACTTCGCTTACAAAATCAAAATCTAACTTTGTTTAGACAGCACAACGGGGCTAAAGAGAAACCCGAGCAGCACTTTTTGAAGAGGAACCTGTCAAAATAGTAGCCGTGTTTCAAAGCCAGACAGTGTTTACTTTCCACTCAGTGCAAGAAAAATACAGGGAAGAGAGGAAGGTTCATTTTACACGGGAAGTTCTCACTGATTTTATTAAGAATCTCCTGCTTAAATGATCATTTGACAGCGGGAAAAATAAACCCCTCCTGTTCCGAGTTTTGGGTGGGAGCTGGTCCAAAAAAACCTTTGTGCCAAAACCATCTTTGGAACAACCCCAACAGATCTCAGTTGATGGCTACTGTAACAGCAGCTAAAAACTGCCCTCATCCTGGTGAAATAATGGAGACTTCTTCCTTTCTCCAGGAACCCCAGGTATGGAGAGCATCCTGGCCAGGAGCTGTGGGGGAGGATGCTAACAGAACCTTCCCCCCTTCCAAACCAGTAAGTGCTTTGTAATGCTGGAAAAGACAGCAGTGAGTTATCCAAAGCTTTGGTTCCACTGGATGCTGAGTATCTGCAGCTCCTGGTGTGGTCTTGGCAAGGGAACTCCTCCTGAGCTCAGGACACTCTACAGACTGATGCTGAAATGCACTCGAGTCCCTAATGTCCCCCTGCCATGGGAAGGACCCAGATGCCCAAACCACCTGGAGATCCCAGGACCAAATTCCTGGAGTTGTTTCCCTGGCAGCAGGGACTGATGGGAGCTGGGTCCCAGAGGAAGCAGTCAGTCCCTGCTCAGGCTCAACCAGTAAGTCCATCCTGGCAGAGACAAGCAGCTCAGCTCGGCTGGTTCAGAGTGGAAAAATGCAAACACCAGCCAGGTAGGGCAGGAGAGAAGAGCATCTGCATCACAAGGTCTGAAGTGATCCCTGCACACCAATCCCCACCCAAGCCACCCTCCCTCCCACTGTGGGTTTGTCTGATCACTCACCTTTGGGCAGAACAAACATCATGGGCACAGCAGCCATGCTTTTCTCAAGTACTCCCATAACATTTTTGGGAAGGGCAATCGTACAGCACTGATACTGGGCAATGCAGACAACTCCAAAACATCAGCAGCAGAGCCTCAGCACAGCTCCCCATCATTGGCTGGCATCTGCACCCACTGCTGAGGCTCCCAGCTCACCTGCCCCTGCTCTCCCTGGGAGGAACTGCTGGCTCCCATCCCACTGCTGCATCAGAGAGAGGGTTGGGCATGTACCCCCAAGGCATTTTGGGGAACACAGGTCCCCAAGGGTATTTTCAGCTATCTAACACCTTGTCTGCAAGTGAGGAGAGCTTAAAAACCCATCCTGGCAAACTACCCTGTGCCTATCTCCTTTTGAGAGCTATGAATGCAGGGCTGGGTTTGCTCAGCTGAACTAGAGATCATCCTGAAGTCCCCTGTGATGCCTCCAAAACCCACAGAAGGTGGCAGTGACAGCTCATGGCAGGTGGTGCTCCTGGCAGGGATGCTGCTGGCTGGGGCGGTGAGGTGGGGGTCCAGCTCAGGAATAATGTGCACAACAAACCCTGGGTGCCAGGGATGGATGTGCAATGTGGGGTCCCCAGTCAGTGGAAACACCATTTGTGTGTGTTCAGGCTGCTGAGCTGTACCTCTGGCCCAGTAAGGACATGCAGAGGAACACAGAGCACAACAGGGACTGGGGTTACAGGACCCACATCACCCCAGAGCACAGCCTGGGGCCCCAGCCCTCCTGTGCCCCATCGCTGCCTGGCCTTGGCTACCAAGAGGAATTTGCATGGGCCTGAGTCACAGACATTTCAGCACACACATTCCTCAGCCTCCAAAATTTCAGTCAAAGGAGACTTTTGTCAAGGAAAGCTCAGCCCAGACAGTTCCTGAAGAAACCCCAACCATGTGATGGCTTCAAACACAACTCCAAAGCCACAAACACAACAACCGTCGGAAGCAGCTGCCAAAGCACCAGATGCTGCTGCTGGAAAAACTGTTCTGCAGCCACGGGGTCTGGTCTGCCCTGCCACCGGAGGCAGAGCAGGAGGAGGAGGAGGGAGAAGGAGCTGTGGGCTCCGGCACTGCTTGTGCAAAAGGGAAAAAAAAGTAGGACAAAAGGAAACCAGCTTTATTTCAGCTCCTTAATAAAAGTTGGCAGAGGCTTTGCAGTCAGCAGCATGATCTCCACTAAGGGGTATGTGAAGCGGGGAGCTGCAGCTGGCCAGAGCTAAAGGAGCTGGTCTCCTGGAGCAACAGACTCCCCACCAGCAGCTTAACCCTTGATTCTTGACAGAATGCTCAAAGGCATCTGCAAAGAGCCTGAAGCAGGGCTCCCAGCCTGTGCCAGGGAGCCAGCTGCAGAGCAGCCCATGCCCAGGATGTGCCACCTCCTCCCAAGCAGTTCCAGCTCAAAAAGTCACCAAATACTGTCTGAGCATCCCCACCTAAGCAAATGCTTGGTCCTTCTAATTTCTGGGAAAGGGAGGATCAAGAGGGATCTGTGAAAACAAATAGCTCCTGCACTCCAATCACCCAGAGTCTGGCTTTATTGAGTGTTTCTGAGTCAATACATGAACCATGCCAAAATAACATATCGGGGGAGGGGGCAGCTCTGGCTTCCCTGGCACACAATTTGGCTTCAGTGGGAAGCGTCTGTGAGAATGAATTTTGTGGTACTGACCTGGGTAAAGATCTTTCTCAATAAGCTTCATCTGGAGATGGAAGATCTGCTCCTGCAGTTTACAAATGGTGTGTTTCATTTTCTCCCGTCTTGTCACCATGTAACAGAGATTTCTAACCTGCAGAAACACAAGAAACAGTGTCTGGTTTAGGCAGGGTCAAAGCAGGTCCCCGGTGCTGCTGCTCCTGCTGCCCAGGGAAATCCCCACTCCCTGGGATTCCATCCTTTTCACCCCACCATCATCTGAGCTGCACTCCTACCACGGCCCTTGGGGTGAGCCCGGGCTAGCAGGGAGGGCTCCTGATCCAAACTGTGTGGTACATGTGGGAAAAACCATGCAGTGGTAATTCCAAGCCCTAACACCTCTGTGCTGGCTCCAACAGCCAGGACCCCACGGTGGGCAGGGAAGGCTGGAAAGGAAGATGCTGCAGAGGGAGCATTACAACACAGTCATGGAAAGGGCCAGCACCAACCATCTGAGCACTGTGCCCAGCCCTTGGCCCAGCAGCTGCATCAGGCACAGGTCCTGCTCACACCTCACACACCACCTGCACAAAAAAATGCCAAATTTGAGGAGGCATCTTGGTGCTGCTGCAGTCAATGCATCAGTTCTCATACAAAAATTGCACCTTTTACAGGGAGGGATAAACCCTCTTCCCACAGGCAGTGCAGGGAAGGGACTGACCTGGAATGGGATGTCAGAGCCTCACAGAACTGCCCTAAAGCAGATACCAGGAAAAAGCATAGAAAATACAGCAAAATACCCTGGTGATGCTGACCAGGTCAGCAGCTGGAGCAGCTCCCTACCTCAAATCTGCCCCTCCATGGGGTTATTCACACTTGCTCCACAGCTAACTGCAAATCACTGGTGCATTTTGCCCCAGTCCAAGAACTTCCATTAACCATGGCAGTGGGGATGGAAGAAGGTGATCTTTTAAGGTTCCTTCCAACCCAACCCAACCCATTCTATGATTATCTGAAGCTCTAAACACAAACAGCAAAGCACAAAATATAAACTGCTCACGTGAGCCAGTGCAGCAGCAGCAGCTAAACCCTGCTGCTGATAAACACCCCCAGCAGCACAAGATGACAGAGCTACTGCTGATAACTCCTGGCACTGGATGGTTTCAGTGCCATGCTTCTGCCAGCCCCACAAAGGGTGGCTGCAGAGCCAGGCTCTGGCACTGCTGCCACCATGGACATCAAGGCTTTTGGAACAAGCAGAGGCTTTCAGCTGCACAGCATAAAATGCTAATGGCAGCTAACAGGATTTGACAGCATTTACTCAGCCTTTTGATACTCTGAAAGAGCAAAGCTGCCTGCAATAAGGTAAGGAGGAGGTGGCCTGAAGAGAGGAACATGCACATGGGGATGTCCACACTCACAGGTGACCCTGATGTCTTTGATTCCTCCCCCTCCTCATGCTCACACCCTTCTCTGCAGAGAATACTTCCAGGCTTGGGGGACTGTCCCAGTGTGGCCAGGAGCCTCTGTGCCTCTCACAATGACACAGCAAGCCAGGACATCATCCCACACTTACCTTGTATCTGCCACCAAAGGCTGTGAGGGCAGCAGGACAACTGCAGTCAACCCCTAGTACTGCCTCACTTAAGGACAATTTGGGAATGTTTAGAAAAAAAGGAGAAGAAGCTGCTCTTTTTGTTGTTGTTGAATTCCCTAGCTGTAAATACAAGGCAGGCAGTTCTATAGCATATTTTACTATGTTCTCTTTTTTTTTCTTCTGGATTAGAGAAAACATCAAACTATTTCTTTAGGAAGAAAACAACTGCTTCTGGCAACCTGACTCTTCAAGAGTTTGGCCATATCTCTTCTCTATGATTTGATATTCCTGGAAGAAAACATTACTTTAGCTTTGCTTAGAGACTGCTGGTATTTACCCACACTTACACAGCTCAACACCACCCAGTGCTGCTTCCCCAAGCCAAGTTTAGATGCTGGTGTGAAAGCCTGGAAACCACAGCTTTTTGTTAAAGTTAATTTAAACACCCAGTCCTTGGAAAAAGCTTTTTTAAAAAGGCAAAGAGGGTTTAAAAAAGGCCAAAAATAAAACGGGGGGACTGCATTAGGATTCCCAGTTAATAGCTTTAATTTGCTAACACTTGTGAAGTACAGAAATGTCAGGGATAAAGAAATGACAGAGAGAACCACCATCACTATGGCTGTCCCCACGTCATCTGCTCTCTGCTTCTGCCTCCCCAATTCCTGGACCCCTGTACCATCACCAGCCCCAAAATCACTTCTGCCAGATTAATTGCTGAAATTGCTAAAATACATAATAACACCCTGTGAACACCCTTTGAAAGCCTTCAGAGCCTCCCAGGCTGCTCCTCTCTGATCCCAATTGGATGTAATTCCTCATTATTTGCAAGTGAAACAGGGTGGCAGTGACCTGGCAGGTGCAGGATCAGATACCTGGGATGCTCTGCCCACAATTGGATTTAAACCCCATCACCCATCTGAGCACTGGACTTTGATCTGGCTGGTGTTTATTGTTCCACTCTTGGAAGCAGAACAAACAAACAGCTCTTCCAGGGACAGGCAGTGAAACCTGGCAGGGAGTTGCTAAGCAGAGGCTGAATGCTGATGGGCACACCCCACAAAGCCTGGAGGCAACTCTGGAAAATGAGAAATCTGGTAAAACACGTAGTTTTGACACAAAGAAATCAAAGAGAAGCTGCCGTGGGCAAAGCATGGTACCCAGGGATGCAGAGTGTTTCAGTGCAGCTGGAAAAGCCAAGCTGGGAACAAAAGGAAGCAGCAGGAGGCAAAGCAGCCTGGTTTAGATTTGCAGTGTAGAGCAGAGGAGGGGAAAAAGTGAGTTGAACTTGTCACCCTCGGATCAGGCAGATGCAGCCTGTTGCTGGAGACCCACCAATGGTGGCACCAGCCCAGCACTACACAGAGATGGAAATGAGGTAAGTAAAGGCAGGAACAAAGGGGGGACAGACTGGCAGAGGGATGGCAATGATGACCACAGGGATGAAAGCCCACAGAATCACAGAAAATAGACCAATAGGTCCAAATCCAACTATTTCCACACAGAAGAAGGCTCTCGGGCTCCAGGATCCTCACAGGAGGTGGGTGCAGCAGGGGACCAGGGCAGGCTGGTCCAAAGCTGAACCCCCACCTGGACATGAACACAGTGCCCACCCACAGTGCCTTTCTCTCACAGGTTCAGTCATGCTACAGACCCACAGCAGACTGAAGAGACGGTCCAGGGACATGCAGGGGCAGCATCCCCACCACCTTCACCTCCCAGGGAACAACATGTCACCTACTGCACCCTCAGCCCCTGCTCAGGAAACCACAGCATCATATCCACCAGGTCAGAACAATGCTCTTTTCCTGCTTTCCTTCCTCCTTGCTCCTAGAGCTGTGGGTGGGTTGTCTAACAGGGACCTGGGCAAGGGCCATGGATTCACCCCTCTGGCAGGAGCAGGAGAGAGGGAACCAGACAGGGCTTGGGTATTCAGCACAGGAAGTGAAGGAGCTTGGGCTGAGCATGCCAAGCTCAGCATCCCTGCCCTGCCTGTCCCTGTGCCTGTCCCTGTGCCACTGCTATGCCCACGTGCCTCCTCAGCAGCAGCACTGCTGCACCTGTCCCCCTCTGCCATCTCACCCCAGGTTCTGTGTGTGCTTCCTCTTCCCCTGTGCCTCTTCCTCTCGCTGCTTTCACCTTCATGGCTGCTCCTCCTTTCCATCTCTGCCCCATCCCTGCTCCTGCCCCATGTGCAGCTGTGACAGCCAAATCCACAGGCAGCTGCAAGGGGTGGCAGCAAGCCCAGCCCAGGGAGTTCTGGCATCACTTGGGCACTGCTGCTCCACCAATGCTCCCTCTCACCCAAAAGGCTGCTGTGGAGGCTGCAGCTTCCTCTGCTCTGGCTGGGAGGATTCAAGGATGTCCTGCACCCCTGGGAGCTGCAGGTGCCTGCATCCTCTGGCTCTGCCCCTGCCAGCAGCTCCCTGAGGAGCTGACCCACTTTTGGCTGCAGCAGGGCAGGGGATGCCCAGTCCCACTGGCCCTGCTCTCACTCTGCCTTTCACTCATTTTTGATGTTTAATGTTAGTAAATAAAGATGTGCTCCCAAGCCTTGCTGCTGCAAAGCACCTGAGGGCCAACACAGGATAATTTTGTGAAACTATTTAGGTATAGTGGACACAAGCTGCAGCATCACCTGCCTCCCATCCACCCAGCCCTGCCAAGGCACCTCTCCCTGCAGACATTTGTTCTTTTGAACCCCCGGATGAGCCCAACACTAACTTATTCATCAATGTCAGTGTTTTGGCGGGGATGATGTACACACACCGAGCACTGCTAAATTTCTGGATGAAGATGAAAGAACAAAACTGTAAGGGGAGTCAAACTGAGTCAGGGGGAGCAGGGCTTGTGCTGTCTGTGGGTGCCAGCACACGGGTACACCACTGAAGGAGAAGCTGTACTCACCCTCTCCAGGTCTTGCCTGAGGTGCATGAAGAGCTTTAGGCGTCGGTAGAGAACATCCTGCTCTTGCTGAGCCAAGTTGTCCACTTCATCCGTTTTTGGTGTCAGCAGCGGTTTGTTGGAGTTTGCTTTCCTCTTCAGCTTCCAGTACTGGTAGACAAAGTCCACCAGTGATTCACTTAAGTCAAGGTTCTCTGCCACCTCTGAAGGCTTCACGAGCTCATAGAAGTCCTCCTCCAGCTGCTGGAGCTTCTGCTTCCGCAGCGTGACCTTCTCCAAGTCCAGCTGGGCTTGGTCGGGCTCTGTCCGTGCCTCCTCGGGCAGCTTGGTGGCGCCGGTGCTGTGCTCGAGGCAGAAGGACTTGAACTTCACCTCATCGTTGTCTGCCAGGATAGTCCGCATGTCCAGGTTGTGGTCGAAGGCGCAGGTGACGTGGAATGCGGTGACACAGGCGGGCATGGAGCACTGCGGGACAAGGACAGGGCTCAGAGCCAGGCACCGTCGCTGAGGGGACTCCCACCAACACAACAGGCAACACGGGCACGCCACAAACCCAGGGACACAACCAGGGTGACACCTGCTGTGAAGTGATGGAGGCTCCACCACAGGAATTCCTGATGGAGGAGCACCGGTATCGCCCCGGCCGCAGAGACCCCAGGGCCCAACACCACCAACACAAGCAGAAGAACCCCAGGGTTCAAGAGGTGGCATTTTCCCACCTAACCTTCTTTAATCCCCTTTGCAATGGGCCCTGCTCGTCTCCCACCTACCACAACCAGAAGCTTCCACAGGTTCTTCCAACAAGACATGCCAAAAGCAAAGAGCAGCACGTGCCAGTGGGATGCTCCAAGACTGTCAGTGGATTTGTCCTGATGGAGAAATGCTCACCTGTATTTCACCCTCAAGCTACTCCTCCTCTGTTACCACATCTAAAGTCAGAATGCCATTTTTACTGGAAGCATACAGAACATGGCAAGGTTTAGGAGTGAACATGGAATCTAAGAAGCAGCCAATGCTCCTAAATGCCTTCCTCCTCAGGAAATTACACAGCCTCTAACTTGCTCCATTTAAAAAAGAAAGAAAAATGTAACTGGAGCAAAACATCACAAAGCAATGCTTTAAAACTTGCACATTGGCTACAATGTTGTCAAACTTGCATCAGATTGATTTTTTCAATGATCTTCTGAACTTACCTCAGGCTTAAATTCCTTTGGATCCCACAAGCAACAAATCTCAGCCTGGTGTCCCACAGAGGAACTCCCACCAGCCAGCGCTGTGCCCATGTCCATGTCAGCACCTTCTCCCCCTCCACTCATTAACTATTTTTAATGGCTCAGAGTGTCAGGTAATTATTTCAACCATAATCCATAAGAAATCAGTCGATTCCAGCTGCTAATGACCAGTTAAACTGCAATAATGAGACCTTTTAAGTGGGTTATTACTGTAGGCACTACTTTGGCTTTAATAGAAGAATTGCTCTTGTGGGGGATGAAGATGCACTTGTGGCCTGGAGGACCAGGTGGAGGCATGTGAAATGTCCTGAATGTTGATGACAAACCATTCAGTTTTACTGGGGCTCTGCTGCACCTTAATTCTCAGAAAGAAAAATATATTCTGGTAGTAGTTGAGGAACAGAAGTTTTACAGCTTTTTATCATCATCCCGTCCATCAGCCCTGAATCCTGCTCAGGCACCCGGGGGCGAACTTTTGACGTTGCTGCTTTTAGATATTTTCCTTTGACTTTTTTCATGAGTCTGCTGGTGCTCAAGAAGCTGCCAGGACCAAGAAAAGCGTAGGCAGGCACTGTCCAAATCCTTCACTTCCAGAGCTCTCCAGGCCCTGCTCCAAAGCCTCAGAGAGCAGTGGGAAGAGCTGGAGGCAGCTCTGGCTGTACCAGCAGGGCTCTGGGCAGCAATGCTGGGCACTACCTCCCACAGGCACCACAAGCAAGTGGATTACGAACTCCAACACCATGTTCACCCTGTTTAAAAATGGGCATTTGGTTCTAATTTCAGTCTGAAATTGTTCACAAAAATACCTGCAACTTGCAAAACTCAACTCCTTCTGCTCTGCTGCTGGCACTGGCTTTGAGCCTGGCATTGTGGGGGACCCTGTGCCAGCCCAGGGCACTCAGCATCACAGTGGGCAGAGGGTGCCTGCCCTGCCACCCTGGCCTTCCCCTGGGACAAGCCCTGTCACAGCCACACACGCAGCTGAAGCACCAGCTCTGTTCCCAAGTATTTATTTTTGGCAGTGAAGGAGGGACAGAGGGAGCCCAGCCTGACTTGCAGCTTCCAGATTTACTCAGGGCAGTCAGTATATCACATGCTGGCTTTTAAAGCACACACAGTGCTGTCCCTTCCCTTCTGTTTCTGCCATCAGTGCTAAAAACAGCATTAACAACACGCCCATGTCTTCTGCCAGGACAGTGTCCTGCTACCAGGAATGACCATCACTCCACCTCAGGAATAAAGCAAATCCAGTGACACTCATCCTGGATCTCTCTACTCCAACAGATGGCAAGCAGCACTTGTCAGAAACTGTGCCCAAAATGCAAACAGAAAATAATTAGGCAGCTCAGCTGACAGGGCAACAAAGAAAGATACCTGGTTGGCTACAGCCACTGAGGGACCCTGGATAAACTAACAATAAAAACATATTGATCCATCCCAGAATGGCGCTGGAATGAAGCCACTTGTGGCAGGAGGGAGGGATCTGCCACACAGAATGAACCAGGCTCAAAGACTGGAGCAGTCCCAGCTTCGTTATCGATTGTGCTTCATTATCTTACAGCACCTTTCATTCAAGCACTTCAGCACATTTTGCTTATCCAGGCAAATCCATTACCAAATAAAATTGTGAGAGAGAGAGAGGGTAAAAACTGCCCCAGAGATTTAACGTGGGCTCCTAATTAGTCCTAAAATCATTCTTACTGGGAAGAAACAGAGAGATGATTTTAGTTGCCAAGGTCATCCAAACAGAAGTTTAGCAGCTTGCAGTGGTGCTCTGCTGCAGTTTGGGGCTGAGGGGAAGGAAGCAGCTCCTTCAACAGACCTGCAAGGGGAGCTCAGGAAGGAAAAATTAATTACCGGTGCTGAACACTGGCCAAGCCATCAGACACAACACTTCTGCATCCTTAAAAAACTACCATGTGATTTTTTGTGACCACAGATGGTCTGGAGCCTGGTAGAGCTTCTCAGCTAAAAATGGCAATTTCAGCCTCACAGACTCCTCGGAGGATGAGGGGCAGAGGATGGATGGGACTGGGGCAGCACGGGAAACACACTCTGCTCTCACCCCTGGTGCCACGTGCTGCCTTTTCAGGACAATGGGCAGAAGACAGCTTTGGGAACCACCAGTTATCCCAGTGGATGAGGACCAGGGGCACTGCTTGCTTAATGGGAGGGGGTGGCAGTGGGCAGAGAAGTGATGATGAATGAGGGAGTGATGGAAGACATTTCCAAGGGCTTTTTCTCCAAAAAGTGACAACAAAAAGAAAGCTGGAAGATGATGACTTCTTTGGAGAAGCTTGCCAAGCTTGAAGAGAGCCCTGGCATTCTGTGCTGCCTCGGTGAGCTCTTCCAGTCACTCTTGACAAGCAAGGAGGAGGGAGTGGAGTCCCAAAAAAGCATAGTCAGGACTCAGGCTGCACCAGAGCCTGGCTCCTGGCACTCTCTTTTCCATCTCAGAAATGCAAACAAGAAAATTCCTCCTGCATTCTGAGCTCTCTGGCATCTCCTGATGTCTGACCACAAGAACCACCATGAAGTAATGACTTCCCCTGAGCAGGAGTCAGGCAAAGGGTGTCTCCAGAGCTGCATCCCTGCACAGCATCCAGTACTTTAGGCTCACACCAAGTTACACTGGGCTCACAGCTCTGTACCAGACAGCAGGGGTTGAGTTACATGCAGCAGCAAGGCAAAAGGCATGGACAGCAGCAAGGAGCTCTTTCTCAGGCTTCTTTGAGTTTCTTTCCCTTCTGATGGTCAAATTTGGATGGGGAAAAACATCTCCACACACAGAGGTCCCTACAAAGACTTCTCCTGTTTGTCTCTGCAAATGTGGCTGAGGTGGGTGTTTTCTCAAGCTGCAGTGCTGCCTCTGAGATGCCCTGCTTGGATGACAGTCATCTACTCCTCCAGCCTGCCTCCCAGATATCACCTTCATAAAACCCTCTTGGCCACTTGGAAAACCCTCTCCTGGAAGCAACTTTCTTCTTTCTGCAGACCTGCCCACCTGCAGCACCTGACTGCTGATGCCAGGAACAAACACCCAGTGCTTTTGCAGAAAACAACATGCTCCTTTCAGAGCTGGGTCACAAACCTAAAATGCTGACAAGGGTAGATCCCACCTGTATAAACAGGCACTAGCAAAAATATGCTTCATAAAATATGCTCCATAAAATATGCTCCACAAAATATGCTCCACAAACATAAGCTTTCAAAACAGAGCTCTGTACCATGGATGAGTACAGAGCGTATTTGTTTACCTATGGGTGTTAATTTACCCCATAAACCCTTACATAAAGGCACTGCCTGCTTTTTTGTCACTTCTCCCCCTTTTCCTTGAAGCAAAGCCATCCTGCACACGGCAGGGTGGCCTCGGCAAATGCTCCAGGGGCAATCTCATGAAGACTTATAAACCATGAGCTGCCAGCACATGAGGCAGCAAGGCTCCAGTTCTGTCTCAGGTGACCTTTAATGCAAATCCACTCAGTACCCAGGATCTCACAGCTCCCATGTCATGATGGCACTAAGAGGATGAAGCCTGAGAGACACTGAATTCTTTCTGATGCTGCCAAGCCTGTTTGCTTCCTTCCCTGCCCCTCTGTTCTTTGAAAGCAGTTGCCATTCTGACACAGTATCTCCATCTGGCAGGGTGAATAAGCACCCAGAGCCATCAAAAAATGACTCAATGCGACAGCTTTAAAGAAGCATTGTGAGATTTCATTTCAAACTATGGGGATTACTTTTAAATAGCTGCCTTTAAGGTATTAAACCCAAGATGACAGCACAAACACAGCTCAGCACTGCAGAGCTCCTATCCCTGCTGTCCTTCTGCCACCAGCCAGCAGCTCCTGGTCCATGGTCACTGCTGCACACACTGACTCCCAGTGTGCAGCTCCTGCTGAGGTACCAGAGCTGATCACATGAATCCTTAAATTTCTCTCAATTTTTCAAAGCTTCATGGCTATTCTCTGGCACTACCAAAACATCAGGCCAAGCAGGTGGAAGGAGAGGGAATCAGGGGGTTCAGCAGGGTTCCCTAAATGCCCTCACACCAGGAGTGCTGCATTATGGGTGGGAGCTTCTGCTCTGCTCCCCAAGGTCAGAGATCATGGTGTGAGAAGCTATGTCCCACTTTTGCAATAGAAAAGCCTGGAGAATCCTGCTTTCTATCTGAAAACAGAATTTCTGCCTCTCCTGTTCTGGGGAGGGCAGGCAATCAGGTATCTGCAGTGGTTTCTTTAGGGGTGGCACAACAGAAAATGTGGAAATGTAATACATGGGAAGTACTTTATTTTCCCAGCCAGCAGGTCAGTGAGGACCATCCCACCCTGGTGCACCCTGATATCCCCACAACTGAAAGGCTGACCCCCTGAGGTTTGTGAAATGCTTGTGTTATGTATCCCATGAGCACCTCACTTTCCTGGCAGCCTCAGAAAGCCCTTCTCCTGGAGGTTTCTGATCTAAATCAAGGTCACTTGCAGTCCCAGTAATTAATGTCACTACAGCAACACCACTGTGTTATGCAAATAAAGTTAATCTAGATTTCTAGCACTCAGTGCATTAAATGATTGCAAACAACATCTGATGATGCCTGACAGGCTCTTGTCACTAGGTTTACTCAGAACAGAAATAAGTCATGCAGACCATGTCCTTCAGCATCTCAAGACTCTCCAGTGGCTGATACAGGTACAGCCCTGGAGCTCTGAGTTTCTCCAGTGCCAAGTTACATACCTGAATGCATGTCCCAGTGCACTCCTTGCAGAGGCTGCAGGACAAAGCCCATCTGCTTGCTGGGATATGTGAGATCTTCGTAATGGGTTCCATTTTTTCAGGACATCCAATGCTAACCTGGCCACAAGACAGAACACAAGTTGTAAATATCAGCTATGGTCCCAAATCTCCTACAAGGGGGTGTCTGTGACAGTCTGAATGAGGGATGGATTATATTTCTTATTCTTCAGGGTCAGTTGTAATTTGGAAAAAAAAACCAAACTCCCCAAACCAGAAACAAATCTGGATAACAAAGAAGGAAAAATTTATGTTGTTTTTTCCTCTGCATTAATTCCTCATCTGAGTGTATCTCAGATGGGCATATGAAATTAGCTTTACTCTGCTCAAAGGTATGCCCCTCCCTCTGTGGCCTTGCAGCCCAATTCTCTGCCCTCCTTTAATTAGCAGCTCCTTGGCTGCTAATTAAACACAGATAACTGCCCAGCGCTGTGGCTGTGACACAGCCTGAGGAGCCAAACTGCATTTGTTATTTACACCTTTAACAAACACCCTGGGCCAAGACCTGAAACCCCCATCCGTGCGTGAGGAGGAGGCTGGAAAAGCTCTTACTTCAGGTATCCATAAGGCACAGCTCACGTGGACCCATTTCGTGCCGCTCCGGGTGGGCTTCAGCGCTCCCCCCCTCTTGGGGCACAGCAGACACTTGGGCTGCACGCCGAGGGCACAGGTCCGGCACAGCCAGCTCCCAATGGGCACCTTCAGGATGCCATAGCACGCCTGTGGAGACACGGGACAAGGAATGATCCAGCAGCCCGGGATGAGCACCCTCCCAGAGCTGCTCCGTCACTCCCAGCTCTCCCAGTGCCGCTGCACCCCAGTGAACAGCAGAGTCAGTGCAGCACAGGCAGGGAGCTGAAGTTTCCCTCACTACCTTCCCTGTCTTCACACGGATGCTCATGGTGTGTCCTGGGTTTTAATTAAAAGCTAAAAATGTGCTGTGCACCATGCCAAGCACCCGCCTGGCTCCAGGTGGGGGTGGGCAGAGCCCCCAGCAGCAGCAGCAGCTCTGCGGTGCAGACATCTGCCCGCTCGTGTCCTGCCCCCTCCTGCCCCAGGATGACTGGGAAAAGCCAGAAACGCTGTGCAGAGAAATCTTCTGAGGTCACTGAGGGCTGGAAAGCCACAAGCCCACGATTGAGAAAGTTGACCACACTGGTTAGAGACCCAGCACAGCCCAAAGGGGAAGCAAAAATAAATACGGAAAGGCAAAAAGGGGAAGCCAATAGTAATGAATGTAAATGAGATGGGAGGAACCAAAAAGGATAATAAATCTTAAGGATGACACATCTAAAGGGGGCACAGACAAGTCTCCAGCCAAGAGAGTGAGACCTGAAAGACTCAGGCTGCCCAGGGAGCTCCCTGACCAGCTGTGGTAATGCAGAACACCAAGAAGCCAAAGTGTTTTATAAATATTTCTCCTCCGTACTTGGGGAAGAGCCAAATGATAAGCCATATCACATAATGATAAATACTTCCCACTTTCACCATGATTTATGACTGCATTAAACAGCTACTGCTAAAACTAGACAGTTTTTAACTGGCAGGTCCTGATAACTCACACTTAAAGGGTTTTCAGAGGGCAACACACTGCCTTGGGCACTTACACAGGGCTGTGTCCCTATTTAAAGCGAGGAGATGTAATTAATTCTACATCTGGCTGCTCTGACATCCCTGCAGAAGGCAAGCAGCCAGTGCTGACAAGGACCCCCAGCACTGGTGGCTGCAAATTGAGCCCAGGCATTCATCAGCTCCACTTCTTGAAGTTTACCTCCAAAAAGAGCAGCTTTTTCTCCTGCTGCTGCAGGTCATTGTCACTGCATGTGACAGTGCTGTGGGTGGGGACAGGAACAGAGGGGGCACATGGAGATGTGTGAGCTTGGCAAAAGTGCATCATTGGTCTCTACTGGCCCAGAAGAGACTACAACATGACTTTAGTTTGCCCCAAATCACAGATTGATAGCAGTTTCCAAGTGGAAAAAGCCATTTTGTGAACAGATTATTGGGATAAAAAGGAATTAAGGGAGGAAATATTATTGCTGCGAGTCTACATGGTTCAAAGAGACTTAACTGTGTGTTTCACAGTGCCTCCAAATCTGATAGATAAATCATTTCTGGAACACAGTTTTATAAAACATATGATTTATTACCAGGCAGGAATCAGCCCGATATGTACTAGCAGCAGAATGAACTGGCAGACTCATCTCAAAATCCAGGGGAAAGCAGGAATTATGATCATCTCTAGCAGACTCATGGATCTTGGTTATTTATTTCTAGTGATTTTAGAGTAGCTGAAGGTGCAATTCTGCTCCTGAGAAGCAAATACAGGTCTTCCATCCCAGACAAGGAGCAGCTTTAGAAACAAGGTGCATTATCAGCTAAACACCCTCTTCCACGTCCAGCACCAGGCAGAAGGTGCTCCAGAAATATGAAGCCAGAGGAATGCTGAATAGGAGCAGCACAGCTATTTTTATTGCTGCATCTATTTGGGGTGCAACATCCCTGAGAACGAGATGTCAAAAAACCAGGGAGGATGCCAAGCCACAGAGGAGCTTGGTGTGGCCATGGAACAGAGGGCAGGTTCAGCCATGTGCCATACCAGGGAAAGGGAATTCAGTGATGACAGGCCCATGGCATGGTGGCTGGAAACCGAAGGTGGATGGTTCCCATGCTAAGCAGAAGTGTGATGTTGTCACTGTGAGAGCAATGAACTGTGATTTAGCAGTGGGGGGCATGCTTTCACCTCGCTGACAATTTTAAAAGGACAACTGCACGTGCTTTCTGAAAGCTTCACTTCACAGGAATCAATTAATAGCCAGCCTCATGGCTTGTGCTATGCAGATGAAGTGAGTACAACATCACCTGGCACCATAACCCACCAGGGTGTGTCCTGAGCCCCTTCCCAAGGGGATGCAGGAGGACAAGGCATGGCTCTGGTGAAGCCCACAGCACCAGCACCCATATGCCTCCAGGAAAGCACCAAAGCACCATTCCCAGAAGGTTTTGGACATGGTGCTGGCAAAGGCATGGGGCAGGTTAGATAACCATGATGCCACATAACACCCTGCACTGTGGCTCTGGACTTCGTGGCTTAGGGTGTAAATCAGGGCAGAGATTAAATCATGGGCAGCTTATGGGCTGGCATAGGGCTTAGGGCTGGACTTTGCTCCCTGAAAACAACTGAAAATCCCTCTTTTCTTTCAACAGCCTTGAAATCCAGGCTGCTGTGTCCCCTTCTGCAGCACTGGGGCTGCTGCTGAAAGCAGAGCCCACACGGTGCCATGGCTCCTCCTGAGTCCCTGCTGTGGCTCATGCCAGCTCACAGCCTGACATTGCCACTTGGGCTTGTTAAAAAAGAACCCAAGACAAAAAAATACCTCGAACTCAACCCTGAATCATTCTGGTATTTTGTGGAATCTGATTCACTGATGGAAACCATTCAAAACACCCACCACCCGCAACTATAGATATCTCCAGTGCTCTCCCACCTCCAGGAAGCACTGATGGAAAAGCTGCCCAGAAGATGAGCAAATGGCTCTCTTTAGAACTAAAAAAACCCAAAACTGTTCACACAGAGGGTGAAGACCAGGTGTTGTTGCTGCCATCCCAGCACTACACAGCGCTTCCTCTTGAAGCATGACCAGTAAAACCTCCCTGAATCCACAAGGGACCCAGGAGACCCTCACATGGCTGCCTTCCCCTTGTCAAGGTTTCCCCAAAAGCAGGAGGCCCACAGACTCCCCCCAGCAAGAGCCTGAAGCATTAGCATTCAATTCTACAAATAAAATTATTTTCCTCCAGGCAGCAAAATAAAATGAAGTCCCACGCTCACACAGTGGGGAAGCTGGGGCAGAAACCTGCAATGTGAGACCGCACTGGTGGAGCTGGAAGGTCCAACCACTCCCCAGACAAGGCAGAGGAGGAGGAAGCTGGGGGGTCTGTGCAAGCCCACCCCTCTGGTGAGCACAGGACTGCAGACCCAGCCACCTGCCAAGTCTTGCACACAGTGCTGGTCACCTACAGATCCCACTGGGGCTCCATAAATGGGGTAAAGAAGGATAAGCATACTAAAGGACAAGGAGACAAAATAAAATATCCCAGAGACCAGAGAATAAGGAGGAAGGAGCACTTCAACCTCTGGTTGTGTGTTTCTGAGGGCACTTATAAATAGTTGGGGGTAAGAAAGTAAGAAAAGCAAGTTTGCTGTCTGCCAGCTATCCAAGACCCTGCTGCTGTCCCCACTCCTCTGGAGCTGCCCTTGGGATACACCAGGAAAGCCCACCAGGTGTCTACAGCAGGCCAGGGGAAGGGATGGGAGGAACCCAGAGGAGGAGGGTGCCAGAGGGTGACAGCAGAGCCCGGGGCTCACCTGGTGCACGCAGACGTTGCACTTGTCACAGAACACCATCTCGTTGCCGTCCTCCCCCTCGGGCGAGCGGCACACGTCACACACCACGTCCTCGTCGTACTCGATGCCCAAGCCCTCCTCGGTCTCGATGGCGATGTTCATGTTCTCGTAGCACATGGTCTCCAGCTCCTCCAGCACTCGCTCCAGGGTGATCTCGTCCAGCTCGGGCTTTTCTGCAGGGCAGAAGGCAGAGCGTGAAGGCAGAGCCCCCGCAGCAGCCCCGGCACAGGGACTCACCCGCCCTCGGGAGCGTTTTGCCAGGGGCTGAGCACTGCAGATGGAGACTCCAGAGGCAACAGCGGCCATTCGGAAAACGGCCGCTCCTAACTGGGGATGCAGTTTGTATTTCACAGACAGTAACAAAATATTGCTGCTGGCTGGGAGGAAGGAAAGCCATTCAGCTGAAGCAATGCGGATAATTGGGGCTGACAGTTTAAATGTTCAAGGAGACACGTTTTGCAAAGATGCGCTCTGCAGAGAGGGCTCAGACAAGCTTTGGCAACACAAAGTCGGTGCTTTAATTGTTAAGACTGAAAATTGACCATTTTAAGGCCAATTAAACGGAAATGCAAAACTGAAGCCAAAGGCAGAAAGAGGATAAATGAGAGGGGGTTTTTGTGTTTGGGTTTAGTGAAATTAGAAATCAGAAGACCCAGGTGGGTCTTTTATTCCCTCCACACCAGGATCTTTAATGGAGAGAGGTGGCAGAAATGCTTTACCAGAGCTTTCTCCACAGAGACAAACCAGTCTCTGTGTAAGGTCAATAACCAGCAGAGGTTTTTTTAGAGCAGCAACCTCTAGGAGTGGGATACCCAGCTGCCTTTTAGACAGGGCATGCTGCTACCAGGAGCTCAGCAGCCCCAAAATGGTGCCACACAGAAAGCTTGTCCCAGAAGTGCTGCCTCCCACCTGCACACAAAAATCCTAGTGCCGTAAATGCAATGTGAAGTCACTCCAGGCAAGGAAGAAAATCTGTCAGGAGCAGGAGTGAGGTTCTCCATGAAGGGTTAGAGGCAGAGTTAAGCCCCCAACACACCCTGTCTCCCAATGAGTTTTATGTCATCAGAGAAGAAGGGACAGAAGTACCAGCAGGATGCAATACAAAACAATTAGACTTTGTAGTTCATTAGTGTGAAGTATCCACAACTGGCCAGACAGTGGAGGAGCCGGACCCAAACTGCTGTCCACCCTCCTTGCTCCAAAGCAATGGAAGAAAATACCTCATTTATAAGCAGAGACGGGGAAAAACGGCTTGAGGAAGAACCCATAAGGAATAGTTACTAACTAAACGTTCAGTGAAAAATTTGGCATCCTGGTCATCTCTCAAGCCACAGTGTGATGTCCCTGCTCTGGGCTGAACTTTGGGCTGCTCTAAAGCCCCGAGTTGCAGGGGTCCCAGCACCTCTGGCTGGATGGGGCTGGCAGAGGCTGCATCTTTTCTCCCCATAGCCACTGATGAACTGAAAAAACTCTGTCAAGGGGGAAAGCATCACGTAGGCGAGCTCGGCAAGCAAACACACCATTGTCTGCCTTTTTAAGCTCTTCCCCAATGTTTCACTGGCACGGTTTCCCTTGGCTTGACAAGTCCCTGCAAACATCCAGCCTGGCATTTTACACGTCTATGTCGAGTCTGAGATACCATCTAAGACAGACAACACTGTTCCCTATCACAGCCCTTTCAAGAGCTCGGGCTGCTGTGCTGCAACATGCCAAGGAACCTGCTGATACCTGTTTGATCCCACAGCAGCCCCGGGATGGGCGTGGGATCCCAGCCCCAGGCTGGCACAGGCTGCCTGGGGCCTCTGCAGCTCAGCAATGTGAAGCATCCTGCACTAGCACAGTGAGTTCTGAGCACCAGGGCTGGGATGCAGCCACCATCTTGCTCTTGGCACCGTTCCGGTGGGATGTCATGGAAACATGGAATGGTTTAGCTTGGAAAGGACCTTAAAGATCTTCTTGTTCCAGCCTCCCCTCCATGGGCAGGGACACATTCCTCTAGACCAGGTTGCTCCAAGCCCTGTCCAAGTGCTCCCTTGAACACTTCCAGCCACAGTTTTTCTGGGTAACCTGTGCCAGGGCCTCTCCACCCACACAGGGAAGAATTTATTTCCAGTATCTAATCTAAATCGATCCTCTTTCAATCGAAAGCCATCTCCCCTTGTCCTATCATTGCCTGCATGTTACAGAGAAAGTCAGAGCATTATTTTTGCCTTAATGGAGTCCCTTTACAAACACACCACCCGAGGTGCACTTGCTCAACATGAGTTTATGTGAGTATTAAACCAGTCCAGCAAGAATATCCTCCTCTTGGTCAGGGTTTCAACTCCCCATCTGTGACTATGAGCCTGGGCACCAGAGTGGAGTCTGGAGTTACTCAGTCTGGAGTTACTCCATTCCTCCCAACATTTCAGGCTCTGCTCTTCTGGAAAGCAAAATGATCATCAAGGTGCTCCCAGTGCTTTTCCCCACACACTTTCCAGAGCTGCCCTGTGCTCTGGAGCTGTCAGCTGCAGGCAAAATGAGGAAGGAAAGGGAGCGAGTTTTCCACAGGAATCATGAACTCAACCTTGCCCAGGGTCAGGATCATGCTGGCATTGCCACCGTTCCACTTCACCTCGAGTGGAAAGAAGCAGCACTCCTCCTGAATTTTCCACCATCACCTGCTTAACCCTGGGGAGAAAGTTCATGCTGATCCCAAAACTCCTGTGCCAGAGGAAGGCCAGAGGCAGAGGGAGAGCAGTGGGGTTCCCTCTCCACTCTCTGTGGCATGCAGCTATTACAGCCCTACATGGGAGTATGGATGTGTCCCCCTGCACACACACAACACACACACACACAGACACACACAGAGGCACTCTCACGCTCCATTTAGGTGTAATTACATTAGGAATGCGTTTGCCAAGCCTCATCCCAAACACCTCGGAGCTTATTGAATTGACAATTGCACTTGATGGGGATGAAGCGATTAATCGTTTATGAAACACTAAACAATGGGGCCTGGGGGTGAAGTGCTTTTTCCATTTGTGCTCCATTTATCTCCTTCTGTATCACATGAAGTTTGTGCTACTAAACTCCATTCATAAAATTGTCATCTTTTTGGCTGCAAAAGCTCTCTCTTTATTGATCGTGGCCAGCCAGCAAACAAAAAAAATCCTCCACCAAAACACTCTCTGAGTGTGCATGCACAAGTGACACTATTACTGTCCCCAGAGAAGGAAAGCAAAGACACAGAGAGCTGATCTTGGCCACAATTAACAAATCCAGGGATGTCCACATTTGGGTCCATCACCACATCAGCAGACTCTACCTGCTGACCAAGAGAACAGTATTTTCACCTGGTTAAGGTGTGCCAAGGTCTTAGGCAAGAAAACAAAGCTTTTCTGAGCCCTCACAGAAGACAGCAGTGATAGCCATGAACTTCAGAGTTTCTGTCTGGAGGGACACAGGCAGAGGTGAGGATTCAATCCCATGCCAATATAATCCCTGGCTATTTAATTCAGAACACCAACACAGGAGGAATAAGTCCCATCACCCCTTCCAGGAGGCCACCCACACCCTTTCCCCATTAACACTGAGTTCATTAACGATGATGGGTTTTGATGTGGCCACCCAGCCTCCCTGGAACACCCCAGTGTTGCCCCACAGTGGGAATCACAGTAATCCAGGGAATGCTGCCTCCCACGGCATCTCAGATGGGAAAATCTGTCCCCTCTCTGCACAGGGCAGGATGCTCTGGGGTAGCACCTTCCCAGCTAAAGGAAGCACCAGAAAATGGGACTTGCTTCAGAAATGGAGGAGAAGAGGTGACAGATAATGATGCACTATAGGAAGTCTCCAGATTTGATTCATGAAAAGAAAACATGAAGGAACTTTGCCCCAAACAAAAAAGTCTTGCCTGTGTGTCTGAGTCAGGGCCTGCCATGATCCCTGCGGAGCATCCCCATCATCCCAGGGGCTCCCAAGGGGCCAGCCCAACTCCACACAGCTCAGCCCTCACAAGTGCCCACACAGCACCTGAAACACAGAATTTTAACACTCCATCCCAAAGGAGCTGGGATTCCTGGGCTGGCCCCACAGCACCAGGCACATTCCTCCACACAACGCCGCTCTCCCTTATAATTATTCCTGTAATATCGTAATTTATGTGGCATCAAGGAGCAATATTCTTCTGCTAAATGAATTCTCAGCTACTCCTTGTTGTGGTGTGAGCCAACTCACTGCGAGGGGAGGAAAAAAATAGCTGGAGAGCCACATTTCACAGAATAGAGACCTATTTCTGACTGAACTGTGCTCCACTAATATCAATTTACTGAAACAATAAATCCTTTCCCCCTGTGGAGAATACCTGGAGATAGAAACAGCTCATGAACAAACAGCTATCAGGACTGCAGGCTGTGCCATTCGCTGATTCACAGACTATAAACCTGGGAGTCTACTTTTCAGGAAATATATATATTTAAAAAAAAATCAAAATGACTGCTTTTTAAAATTATAATTGAAAAAGGGAAAGCAGTTGTGAGACGATGTAGGCTTGTCTTTGGCTGCCTTTGAAACCCTGAGGTGAAAGAATGACAGGTCCCTGATGGGATGGGGTGTTCACACATGGTACAGGGACCACACACTCCAGAAATCTCCTTCCAGCCCACTGGTCCCCCAGCTCGCCCCGGGCAAGCCACTTCAAACCGGTCTGCTTTGGCACTTGTGGGGACAGCAGGCACCCTGCCCCGGGCTGAGTGCCCCCTGGGCATCCTTCAGGGACATCAGGGGATGACAGCCAACCACCTGAACACCACCCCAGAGCAGCTGGGACTCCCACAGCCTCCTCCAGCCCAGCACCTGCAGACACACAACCCCTGGACGATGCAGCAATTGTACATTAATCTTTTATCAATGTTGTTTATAAACAGACCCTGCGTGTAAAGCGTGACCAACACACAAACAGCGAACTGAGCATTCATAGTGAAACCTCCAGACATTTTGTTACAAACACAGCCTGCTAATGCACTTTAAAAGATTTACAGGAACCAATTATCACCCTTTCTGCCACCCACCGACATCAATTATTGCTCAAATTTAAGATGATGACAAAATGTTTCAGAAGCCACTTTAGAAGCTGCTGCCTCTCTGCAGCGATGCTCGGCTCTGACAGGGCTGTCCTAGAGCACTCCTGATGAAAGCCTCCTCACCCCATCAGCAGCAAAACTGGAGTATTGCTGGAAACTACTGCAATTACTGCCAGGAATTTATGGAAACAGCAAAACAGCGACTTGATGTAAAAACTGATTGTGCTGAAAATGTGGAGGGAAAATGTCTTAAGAGTCTCCCACTCATCTCCAACCCTGCTAATCTATACATTAGTACATCACGTACAATTAACACATTCATTTACACGTGGTATTGATTATCTGTAACTCTAAGGAGATAAATAAGCTCAGATCCAGAGGCTTGTGGTGTTTTACAGAGGGGAATAGCTTCAAACTGAGGGCAGGGTGAGATTGGATATTAGGAGGAAATTCTTCCCTGTGAGGGTGGGGAGGTCCTGGCACAGGGTGCCCAGGGAAGCTGTGGCTGCCCCATCCCTGCAAGTGTTCAAGGGCTTGGGGTAATGTGGGCTAGTGGGAGTTGTCCCTGCCCATGGCAGGGGACTTGGAATGGGATGAGCTTTAAGGTTCCTTCCAAACCATTCTACAATTCTATCCTGGGGTGTCCTGCACGGTGGGACACGGACACACGTGGGTGGGCAGCAGCTGCTTGGAAACAGGCTCTGCCTGGGCAGTGCCAGCTTGCTGCCTCAGGGTGGAAAAGGGGCTCCCAGAATCCCAAAAGGATGCAGTGGGATGGGAGCAGCCTCAGAGTGTGACACCCAAGACTGCCAGGGCGGGCTGCAGCCACTCTGTGAGGAGCAGGACTGACAGCAGCCTCTGCTCCACTGAGCACATCTTGCCCAGGGTACTGCACTGACTGCAGCTTATTTCACATCTACTTGACCAATCTCACCTCCGCCGAGGGAGGCATCATCTCATTAGCACACAGACATATCTCAAGTATGCAGCGATGAATTCCCCCCGGAGCTTCAAAAGCAATCCATGTGACCTTTGCATGTTCCTGCCATAAAATACCAGGAACACCTCCAGCTCCAAAGATAGAAGCTGTGGTGGGCATATGTGAGCAGAATACACCATATGGATTAAGTCAAGGGAATACTTAGAAACTTCAACTCTGCCTTCAGCAAAATTGATTCCGACAACAATTTTAGCAATTTCTTGAGGATTTTCCGTGTGTTTATGAAGTGTCGATCACTGCAAAAGGATCTTTCAGCCTTGGTCTTTGAAGTCTCTCTACCTCCACTCTTACAATAGCTTTGGATTTAGTGGAGATCACAAAACAGCATAAAATGTTACTGTAAAATGAAGACTTATGGCATGGCTGCTGTCTAAAAGGACAGACCTGTGCTGCCTGGAGTGGCATGGACATTAATCTGGCTCTGGGCTCCATTCAGTTTTCTTCAGATCCACTTTTTTTACAATCTCATATTGCAGCAGCAACAAATAAAACACTTAGGCATGCCTAAATACTGACTTCATCTCTAGCACACAAAGGTTCTTTAAACAGCACATTTCCAGCGAGTACAGCAACAGCTACTGAGGCATCTTACTAGGGGGTTTAAAACTATTTAAAGCTGTTTTATGTTTAAAACTTTTGCTTTTCATGTGAAACCTTTGCTTTCTGGAGCAATTCCACTTAATTGGAAGAGGAGTCAGCAGGCAGAATGCAGAGAGCTGGAGCTATCTGGAGGTTTATCTGATCTCGGTGATAAAATTCCATCCCTGGGGTGACCTAAAAAGGACTGGAAAAGGCATGTGCTGTGTGCTACGTAGACCCACGAAAGGCGAGCTGGATGATCTCATAGGTGTTTTCCAGCTCTCCTCCCCGCACATCCTCAGGAGCCAGTCAGAGATCTGGATCCCTCTTTGTCACTAAATATTTTGGGAATGACACATTATGCCCCTGGACAGCCCAGCGACAACAGTTCAGCCAAACACCCATGAGGAATTTAAACTTCTGCCTACCTCCTAAATTAATGCTGGGAGATAACTCCTGACTCCTCTGAATGGGAGGAGAGGCTGCTGTTCTCTAGTTAAGTCATGTTAATGATCTTGGAGATTAGCAAAGCAGGTTTGGAAATCTCAGCGAGTCATTAACAGTGTCATTAATGTCAAGGGCTTCCGGGAGAAAGCACTATTTATGGACTGCCTCTGGACCAGCCCAGGCAGCAGCAATCCTCTGCCCTGGCTGGTGAAGGGCACCCAAATCCCACCCTGGCTTTTCCCATCTGGGGAGCAGAGGGAGCAAAGCCCCTGCTCTGTCCCAGCCTAGGAGCTGAGCAGCAATAGATTTGCTACAGCAGCTTTCCTCTCTGAGCCCCCACACCCCATCACTTCCACGGGCAGGAAGAGGCATCCCCTCACAGAAGCCCAATGACCTGCAGCCTCCACAGCAGGCATGGCTGCCATGGGTGATGTGACCATGGTCCTGCACCAGGAGCAGCAGCTCCCATCCTGCTTCCCACCTGCCAAACCCCCAGCTCCCCACAGCACCAGGGATGGGGCATTATCAAAGCCACATATTTTCCTCTCCAAGTCACTGGAAAATATGTACTAGCCCTTGCAGTGCTAGAGAAGTTGGGAGGACTGGGGAAGGGGGAAAGATACCAGAATCTATTGGGCTGAAGCTTATCCACAGTGGATTTCACATGCCAAACACTGGTTTTTAAAGCTACTCTCTCCCCAGCATATTTAAGGCTCAGCCAGTAATGACAGTGCTCCCTCAGTGGCAGGAAGGGGCTGCAGAAGCAGGTGATGGGCAGTGATGTTCTCTGTACTGCTGGGACCACATCGCTCCTTATCACCTTATCATCATCCTTATCACCATCTAGACTTGGTGATGGCAGGAAGGCTCAAGGGCTTCCTCAGATTCTGTGGTTTCATCCAGCCCAGCCCTGGACAAACATCTCCTAAGGACACTCCTTGGAAAAGGTGACTGGCTGATAAATGATGAGATGGAGGTTAAAAAATGCAGCTTGCTCAGAATGGCTGAGGGTCAGCAGCAAAGCACTGCCTGTGTCCTGACCTGGGATCCCCTGGGCTGCTGAGGTGCCAGCCACACACACCTGCACAGAGCAGGGGTATGGCTGGGATGAAGCTCAGCCTCCCCTCCTGAGCTCAACTCACTGCCAGGGCAGTGCTGCTGGAGAAGCTGCCACTGTGGGTTTGGCACACTCCAGCCCAAAGGTGACATGGGGACAGCCAGCAGCCAGCTCCTGCCTGGCCTGGGGCAGGGACCTTGCAATTAGCTCAACCTTCCATCACCCCAGGAGCTCCACATCTGAAAACTGCATTTGAAACCTAATACTTTGAAGAAATAATAAAGCAAGGCAAATTTAATCCAACTGAGCTGGAGAAGCCAAATCTCTGCCCGCTTCATTTCTAGAGACTTATGAAATACACACAAGTGGACATAGAGACAATGCTTCTCTGGAGCCCAGAGACACTTCTGATGGCCATGCAGCTGTGGAGAGGGCAAGGGAAATGTAGCAGGGGATACACTGAAGGCACAGTGAGGTCAGAATGATGGCCAGTGTGGTTGAAAGTGGTTTCTTGATGCACCAACAGCAGCTGTGCATGGTTAGGATGGGTGGATCCTCTGCAGGTCCTGAGCAGGACTGAAGCACTTGACTTTATCCAGCAGCACCCTCTGCTCTGCACAAGGACTTCACAGTAGCCTCAAAACCTTCGTGTGCCAATGACAGAGCTGAGGCTGCTAATACAGGACCAGATAATGAGGGCAGAACTGACTTGTGATTTCTCTGTGATGCCACAGGCTTCACAATGTTCAGATTATGGGAAATCCAATATACAGGATACCTATACCAGATAATCAGACAAACTGTGGAAGCAGCTTCTACAACTTTCTCAAGGTCATGGTAACAAAATTTCATTGTAAATCATGAGTACACCAGAAGGACAGATCTTCCAAAACCAACATCAGTCAATGTCACAGCCAACTTCTGAGCTTGCCTGTGCTCCACACAAGCTCATTGAACTGCATCTTCCTGACCTCATCCTGAATCCTGCTGCAGCCCTCAATCCTGCTGCTGCCTGTGAGAGCCAGCCCAGCCTCCTGCTCTGCAGTGCACTATCCCATCTGCTCAAGCACCTGGTAAAATCCTTTTTCCCACTCTTGAGAGGCCTCTGCCACCAGGACTAACTCTTTGTGTAGGCATGCTTGAGCCTCCACTAACCTCACAAGGTGAATGCTTTACTGAGGTATTACCCTTACCTGCAGGGCAGCAGCCACACCACAGCAACCCCTCCCTAACAAGGACTGGAAAATCCCTCCACAGTCTGGCAGGACTACACACACCCATGGGTCTGTGCCAACAAATTTGCCCAGCAGACCATGCTAAGCACTAGTGCCAATGGTCAAATTCCAAGCTCAGGTACTTGCACTCGACTAAAATCCACCAAAGGATTTGAAGAATGTGCAGTGATATAACAGCAGTGATGCAGGCAATGTTATGCTGTGATTATCCAGAGGTGCCTGGAACAGGAAACAATCAGGACCAGCATTTCTGACATTTCTTCTTCAAGGCCTTTAGTTCCACATGCTTACTCAAAAAGCCTGAATGCCCACTGTGGAAAACCAGACCCAGAAAAAAAACCAAAACCCCCAGCAATACTCACCCATCTCCTTGAGCTCCATGTTAACAAGTTCCAGCCAGCAGGCATCGAGCTCGTCCAGGTCATAGCGGCTCATTCCTTGCAAGTAAGTCCTTGTGGCTTCTGAAATCTCAGAGCCAGGCAGGCTGCTCGGTGAAACCTGTGAAAGCGAGCTCTCCAGCTGGGGGATGATCCTGCAAGAAGAGAAGGGGAGGTTGAGAAAGAGCTACAACTCAGAAAAATATTCTGTTTCTTGCCATGGAGGGTGAGACCACACTGGGCACCTGTGAAGGAAAACAAAGTTATTGCACCTGAAGTCAATGCATGGGCCAGCACTGACAGACAGCCTCAGCAGAACAACTACAGCAAGAGTGTTCCCATTCATCCACAAAAATTAACCCTTTACATGAGAAAAATGAGGTGCAATGGAGATGATGCTCCAAGGACTGACAGCAGCAAGCCCCCCAGGCATTAACTGCTCCATGAGCACCTCCAGTGTGCTGTACACTGCACTGCCACATCCACGCCATGCTGGGCAGCATTTTGGCATGCTTGGCACTGGGGACCATCCCATGGTGGCCTGTGAGATTTGTTCTGAGCGCTCTCTAATCACAAGCACAGGGATGGGGAGAGGAGCTGCCTCATCTGCTGCAAACTCCCTGCACAGAGAACAACCAGGCACGGGCTGCCAGCTCTTCTGCCTTTCCTTGGCAACTCTGCAGCAATATGCATGATGCTTGCCATGCACATGTCAACAGTGTCACGCCCAATGACATGCAAGCAGAGGACAAGCTGGAAATGAGAAGCAGCCTGTGGAGCCAGCTGACAGATCTCAGCAAAGCTGGGAGCTGGAGCTTGCTGCAGGATTTGCACAGCTCCCATTTCCTCCCCTGAAATCCACCTCCTGGCACAGATATCAGAAAGATGCTGCAAAGAAACAGCAACCAAACATACCTCACTGCAGCATGTGAGCCCCTTCCAAACAGCTTCTCCCCACGCAAAGCTGCAGGACCCAGCCCTGCTCCTGCACCAGGGCCAGCTGGGAAGGCCACTGATCCCTGGAAGACTTTTATCTGCCTTCTGTCCTGCTATGTAAGCTAATGTCAGAGCATGGAGTGCCTTGTGCTCTGTGCTGTGCCTGGGGCACAGCCATGGTGTCCACGACAGAACCAGATGAACTGTGGTACCAGATGCTCCCAGGTCTGTATGTGCCAAGCAGAGACGCTTGAGCCCAGCTGTCCTTGGGCATGAGACCCACCTGCCTTGCCCATGGTCAGGAAGGAAATCTGTGGCAGGGCAGGAAAATGAACCTGGAGTTTCTACAGACCCAGACACGCAGTTTAATTGCTGTCCTCTGTGGTCACAAACACTGGAGGTACTTCCAGAGCCACCAGCAGAGGAAGCAGCAATTTATGGCTCAGAGAAGGAAACATCAAGAAATGGGTTCTTATTATCTCTTTTGCTTTACTTTCCCCACCAGTAAATTGAAAATAAACATGTGACCCAATTTCCTGAATACATCTCCAAATTTAAGTTAAAGAACCAAAAAGAGCCACATGGAAAGACAGATCTCAGTCCCCACATTTTAAGACAATCTCACTGTAATCTAGGATAGGACTTGGGGATTCACTGACATCTCTAATGCAGACATTATGTTCCAGCCACAGCTTCAGGATTGGCATCTAAGGAGCTCCCAAACCCCTAAAATCAGAGAATCACACAATAAATGGGTTTGGAGGGGGCTCACTGATGGTAACAGCTACACCAGTGCTCAAAGATCATCCAGTTCCAGCCCTCCCTGCCACGGGCAGGGACAGCTTCCACTGTCCCAGGTTGCTCCAAGCCCCATCCAACCTGGCCTTGGACACTTCCAGGGATGGAGCAGCCACAGCTTCTCTGGGCAACCTGTGCCAGGGCCTCACCACCCTCACAGGGAAGGATTTCTTTCTAATATCTAACCTAAATCTGCCCTCTGTCAGTTCAAAGCTCCTCCCCTCTGTCTAGTCACTACTGGACTAAAAAGTCCCTGTCCAGCCTTTCTTGCAGCCCCTTTAGCCACTGGAAGATGCAATTAACAAAAAAATAAAGCAGGAGCTGCTGGTGCATTGGCTCACATCAGACTGAAGCTCTCCTTCCCATGAGCCCAAGTCTGGGTCATCCCTCACAGAAACAGAACCTGGGTGTGGGAGCAGCCAGGCTGGCACAGCCTTGTTACAGGAGAGAAAAAACCAGTCCTCCACCTGCAACAAATGCTTCTGTTGGGAAGAGCTGCCTGAGCAGGCACGAGGTCGGGGCCATAAGCCCTCATAAAGCCAAGTTACACAAGCTGCTCACCCAAAAGCCCCTGCAACAGGTGATGCTCTGGTACCGAGCCAGCCACGGATGCTCGAGATGGCAGGAGGAAAGAGCTGCTATTTTTACCCTGGAATAAAATTGCAAAGATTAATGCTCTGTGTACATATCAAAGGAGTACCCTGAACAGGTCATTGACTGTACTGAGAGCACTGAAATGCACTCAGTGTGGTAAGGATGCTGATGTGACTGGAGCAGTCCCTTGGGGTTACCTCACACAGTGCATACAGTACTGCCTGCCAAGAGCACTGTGTGGGACCAGCCTGAGCCTGGGCACATCCCCTCCCACCTGGGCACACAGCTCCACCTCCTTTCTGCAGGTATCTTATGGAGAAGTTCTGCTGAACCTGATGCTCAGAGACAGGAGACAAGTGACTGTCCCCTTGAGCCATGTACCCGCCTCCCCAGAGCTCCCAACGCCCCCAAACCTGGATCCATGCTCAGGCTCTCAAACCTGGATCCATGTTCAGACTCTCAAACCTGGATCCATGTTCAGACTGTCAAACCTGGATCCATGTTCAGACTCCCAGGTCCTGGCTGTGCACAGTCCCTGGTGATGCAGAGATCACAGGGGGCTCAGGGGCTCACTGATGGTAACAGCTCCACCAGTGCTCAATGTCCAGCTCTTTCTGACACTGTAATTAAATGCAGTTTGCTTTGGTTTAATGGGAACTGGCACTTAGGAAGTGACATTTTGCCTCTCACCACGTCACTGATGATGAAGATCAAGGTAATGAAGATACAAACATCTAACAAGCTCCCCAGCACTCTGTTAAAAGGATTGAAACATGCCAGTGCAGTGATGGCAGGTGCCTCTCCCCATCTGGGAACACAGGGGTCAGGGAGGGATGATCAGGTGCTGCAGCACTCAGCAGACACTTTCCTACCAGGAATAAGTATTCATATGAAAAATATATTCTTAAGAAGATCACTAAACTTTAATTTTGATAATTCCTCCCCAAAACCCCATGCTGATCTAGCAGCATGGGCTGGGATCCCTTGGAGTTAATTCAGGCTTGGGGATACTGGGACATGTTCATGCCATTTTCTCACCATTTCAAATACCAGCAAACAGAGAAGGTCAGAAATTAAGAAACTGAAACAGCTGCTAAATAATTTTTCAAACAGTGAGAAACTTGTATAACCCTATGAAGACCTGCTGGAAGCCTGGTCCGGATCAGCTCCCTGACCCATCTGCAGCACTCAGGTAAACACAAAGGTTTTATGGCTTGCAAACAATTCAGCAAACCCTAAGAGAGCCTGTGCCTGTTCCCATGAACATTCCTCCCACCCCAAGGGGAGCTGGAGGCTCACATGGGGCATCCCAATGCCCCAGAGCTGCACAGCCTGCCACGGATTCCTGGATTTGCTTTGGTGGGTAAAATCACATTCCTAAAAGCAGCCCACTCCTTCCTGACACATGCTAACACACCTGCAAGGAGCTTCCTGGAGCTGAGATATAAAGATCAGTGACTGCAGTGGCAGTGCCTGAGGCTACAGGAGCTTTGGAAGGAAGAGATCCTACAGTTTAATCCAAGAGAGCAATCCTGTGGGAAGGACCATGCCCTGCCTCACAGCAACACAGAACACAGACCACGCTGGGCACCCTTCCCCACCTCCAGCAGCTCCAGACACTGGAGCCCAAAAAGCTGTAAGCTTTGTGCTGTCCAAACACTGCAGTGGAGACACAGCAAGAAAAAGGAAACAAAGCACAGAGGCTGCTCTCACCAGTGTCTGTCCATCTCCTGCTGGGCTCAAGAGCTGGGGATGTCATCAGGGCTCCCCTTTTGTGCAGGGACAAGTTGTAATCCACTGGGAAACCATGGGTTTTGGTTTTTTGGGTTTTTTTGGTTTTTCCAAATTGCTGCTTGGTGTACAAAGAAATACCCAGTCTGGGTGATGAAGAGTCTGCACATGAGCCACCAACTCACCCAAATTCACCATCATGGCAAAGAATCACAGAGGCAAAGCCTGCACCACGAGCCAGACCATGCACAGAAGCTCAATTACACAGGGGGAGCATTTACTCCTTTATTTTTTCAGAGACACAGCATTTTTTAAAAAATCCTGTATCAATCAAAGGCTCATTTAAATGAAGGGCTGAAAATTGGGATCAGCCTGAAAATCACAACAAACCTGAGGCCATTAGTCTGAAAGTGGGTCTCAAGGGCACTTGAGGAAAAGGAGTAAGTGGACCCCAACACTCTTGAGGATCACATCTATCCCTGGAGAAGATTACACAGTAATAAAATATACTCAGCAAATTCCCATGGTTAATCATCTCTGTAAACTGAATGCTTCACTTGGCTGAAGGGAGAAGGCTTTTTTTTTTCTATATGCTCCCTTTTAATATATCAGATAGAACTAATTAATCCTGCATGGTGTTTCTCATCTAAAAATACTTAATTTTATTACAACAAAGACATTAGTCAGTAATCTTTTCTTTACCTCCATTCCAGTCTAAATTAGTCTTGTCCAATGTCCATAAATAAGTCAGCTTAAGAAAGTCAGTGGAAAGATAGCTCTGCCAGCAACCTTCAGTGCTGATACTGCTCCTACTGCCAGCTCTGCTTGTGGGGGAATTCTCCTGTGGCACACAACAGCTTTAAAAGGGCAATTTAAAGGGATGATTTTCGCTTTCTGTTTATTAAAATAGTATCTAGCAGGCCATTTGGACTGGATACCCCACTCTCTTATGAACTTAAGCTAACAGATTTTATACATGCTATTGCCTCTCAACAGCAGAGCAGAATTTAAGCATTTAAGTTAGAAAAGGTGCCTGGGGGTATAAGGGTGAAGCATAGGGCTGGAGGTAGTGGTGGATGGTCACAATAGTGAGCCA